ATGGAACCGCGGCCACTCCATACGGCACTTCTGATGGTGCTCAGTACTTCCGTCCGCCTTGTCAGCACGGAGTTTGCGCGTGCATGCCTCCGGTTGCTATAAGTTTGTATAAGTTTTCTCCAGAACGTCTGTCCCAGATTTTTCAGCCACAAGTAACGCAGCCCAATCCACCATCTAGGTGAGTTGTTAGCAACGATTCGCTGTCAGACAAAGTTACTGGGATGTGTTCGCACGCAGGAATGCCTGCCAGCGCATATTTAGCAGGTCACTATGCAAACCCAGCTGGGCCTCTGAACAATTATTATTTACTGCTGACCTAAATTGTTTAGAGCGATATTTTTGCGACTATAAGACCGTCTGCATGGTTAGGTATAAGTGCGTATGTACCCCCAGTCCCCTAGTCATGTGTAGGGCCTACTTATTTCGCCCAGGTTGTTTGGAATAACCTTCCTCGTTTAGGTCGGCGGCGCCCCTGACTGTATTGGCTGCACATGGACGTTAGCATACACCTCCCTCACTCTGGTACCGGTTGCTTTTTGAATGATCTAACGCGCGGCATCCAGCCGGACGCTAGGAGCCCTGTTGAGGCTTTTAAATTATAGATATCTGTAATATCATGTGTTCGACTCACTAAGATCTGCCTGACGGTGCCCACCGAGGCTACAAAGTTGCCGATAATCACACTGCCATGTCTAGGTGCGCAATCCTGCCGGGGTAACGAAGGCATTCCTACTGGCGTCCAGGGAGGCCATCAAAATACCCGTGATGTTACTGTCGGTGCGTAGCCCTTCGCAGTTGCCTACCGGGGCCTATCTATGGCTTTAAATTACGAATAACTGCCATGCCGTGTGTCGCACACAGCCCTACTGGGTTAACAAAAAGACGCTTGCAGATGCCTGATGAGGCTACTAAATCACAGACGCTCCCAATGCCATGCGCCGATGCGTAGTTTTTACCTGCCTACCGTATCAAAAATATCCGTGGTGTCATCTATTTGTGAATAGATCTACTGGGGTTACATAGACGCGTCTGCCGTGGTCATAGATTCTACCAGATTACATTTAATTCTAATGCCACGTGTCGTTGCGTAGACCTTGATTCACGAACACACTCGTGCCGATCCGCCAAGACCACTAAACTGCAGATACACGTAATGCCATGTGTCGGTGTGTGGACTAGCTCGGTTCACGATAACACGCCTTTCTGTGTCCATTGGGGCTATTAATTTATAGATACTCGCAACGCTAAACAGTATTCATCTTCTTTTGTAACAAGAACCCGAAACTGGCATTTTCGCCTCCATTTGTGAGTATTCGTCTGACTTTACACATGGGGAGTTCATTTTTAAATAAATACGTTACAAAATGGACTATATAAATCGTATGAAAAGGAGCCTCATTGTCTGCGGTTCGTAAGCTATGCGTTGCTCATAGATTCATGCCCCGTTCTTGATGTTAGTGCGGTAGAGGAAGCCTCCCAAGCTTTCCATCACTTTTTTCTGCATATATTTACAAATTGGTTGCTGCGAATTTTTAATTCGTTGAGCGCTTTGGTGCTGTGTTAGGTTAACCTCGCCGTGTTCTGCTCCAATATGGACGTATGCCCCGTACGTTTGGAATACATAAGGATATTTTGGAAGAGTCGGTGTCACCGCAGACTTAGAAAACAATGTCCTTAACATTGTATACACACTGTGTTTCGATTAAGAAAACTTCGGTATTGTGACTTCCTTTAATTACCGTAAGAGTTCACAGTGATTGTAAGGAACTTATTGATAACGCCTTTCTATATAGCTATCTTTTCAATTCCATTTGGAGTCATGCCGTTTACATTCTTAACGAAAGTTTATTTGCCTTTCCGTCCGCTGGGCAGTTGCTTATTAAGTTACAACTAATGGACGCAGGGCATTTTTAAATTAAATCGTCTGGCCTCCTACTGGCAACTTCTTACAATCTGGGAGTTTCCATTCTGCAGTTACTCAATACACCAAAATAAGCACTTGACTTTTGTGTGATTTGGCGTCTTCCTATTTGATTTAATTTGATTTCTGGGAGTAAGTAAGCAAACTTGGTGTCAGCGATTTGTTGCAGTTCAGTTAACTCGATCTCAGAAAATACTGGCTTTCAGACAGCGCGGCAATGCGCTCCCCTATATTTCGGGGGATAAAAATCTCTGGCCGTATAACGAGGCGCCTGGAAAAGCGAGTACGTGAACACATACCGGCCTGGCTAGGCAGAGGTGAAAAGAAATCGACTTCGAGTTCTATTCTCGCACATCTTGCCGATACAGATCACCGAGCCGATGCCAAAGAAGTCATTCAGGTTGTCTATCGGACACCAGCAAGCTTCTCCAGAGGCCTACGCCAACGAGTGTTAGCTACAACCGAGGCAATGACCATAAGGCTACTCAATCCAGCGTTATGTTGTCAGAAGACGTTGACACAGGCGCTCTATCTTCCGTGCTCAACGCCGACCCCAGATGATGATTGCGCGTCGCCCCAACCTCCTGATGGCAGTGGTGTGTGCTCAAAGTACACGACTTACAAACATCACTCACAGCCTATGTCACCCCTTTCCCTCGCCCTCTTGACCCAATGACCATAACACGCCGACCACGCCGTAACACACCTCACCATGCGGGTGGCGTGGGAAAGATGAGTGGTGTGGAAACGATGAGTGCTAGTAGCCCTGAATCACTTATAAACCCTCTAACTTCGCATATTCCAACTTCGATGCAACTGTTTTGGCCTGATGACGAGTTACCGAAAACACGTGCTTGCCAAATTGACTTTTCAATCGTAACATGGGGATATTCGCAGAACTTATCTGTTTTTATGAGATACCACTAGTCATTGTTTAGTACACGTGAGTATGTCCAGTTGGTATGTTCAATAAGACAAATATTGGTGAAGGAGCGCTCACCGATCGTTCATACGGAACTCACTCGTTCCGTTGTGTCTTACGGGCTCTCCCTCTCCAGCTCAACCAGCAGCCGCACAGCGGCGCATGATATAGGCAGGTGTTCTACACCTCGGGGCCGGGTATGTCTGGCTGACGACGGCTAATATGCCAGAAAGGGCCATTCTGGTCTCCCTTATATTTGTCGGTAATAACGTACTGCCTTTATCATGCGCCGCTGTGAGGCTGCAGGTTGGCTTGACAGAGAGAGCCCGTAAGGCACAACAGAACAAGTGAGTTCCGTATGAACGATTGGTGAGCGCCCCTCCGCCATTGTATATTCCCGATCGAAACCGACAGGGCAACGAGCCCGTGGCTCAGTGGTTAGAGGCGTTTGACCTCTAACCAGCAGGTCGCGAGTTCGAGCCCAAGGTGTTCCACACCTCGGGGTTGGGTACGACTGGCTGACAATGCCTAATAAGCCAGAAATGGCTGCTCCAGTCTCCCTTGTCTTTGTCGGCAATGAGGCAATGATTCCCAGATCAGAAGTCAGGGAAAACGGATTGGGTTGAAAAACATTTACTGCTGGGAAAGTGCGTACACAAAGGCTCTGCAAGCAGTCGCCGCCAGCGGTCTCTCCAAGCAAGTTGTGTCAGTGTCCGCCATTGAGGTGCTTAGATCCCAGAGCGTGTGTGTGCCTTTCGCTTTACCTCGGTGTCCGCCATCCAATCAGAGAAGGGGCAGCGTTGATTGGCCTCGAGCACTCGCGAGGTTAGTGACAAGCCTCTCGCGTCCTAGCAGAGAGTCGACAGAGAGTGTGAGGCGGACAGGAGAGCAACGCGACAAAGCGGCGGAGAGCAAGGAGGCACGGGCTGCCACTGTACCTGCAGCCAGACCGAAGGCGGCATGTTACGGCGCGGAAGGAATTGTTCATTTCTAAAATAGGTGAGTAACCAAACGGTTAGGCAAATGAACACGGCGTCCGCTACGGGTTACATATACAGGGGGCAAAGGTGAAGATTGAGTATGGCTGGCGGTCGCAGTGTTGGATGTCGACGAGTGTGTAGTGGCAGTTTGGAGCAGCGGGCATTTAGGAGGAGGGAGTATGCGGGATGGAGGGACAGAGGGTCGCGAAGGTGGAGCAGGAAGTAGAGCACCGCAGGGCTCATCCTGAGGAGTGTCTGGGAAGGCAGCTTTGAGGTGGTCCACGCTCATAACCTCCCCGAGAGTTCCGCATTGGATGCGGAAGTTCTTCATCCTATGAGAGATAATCCGGAAGGGACCGTCGTACAGTGGTTCCAGGAACTGGCGGACTCGATCACATCGGAGATAGACGTAAGAGCACGTCGCCAAGGCTTTCTCGAGGTAAGACGCGGAGATGGGTATCCCGGACGGAACCAAGTAAAGCGGTCGCATGAATTGCCGTAGACGGTGCAGGAGGTTGGTAGGATCCTCGAATGCAGCTCGCAGGGTCGGGGAGATCATCTCACCAGGAAGTCGGATGGTCGCACCGAACACCAGTTCAGCAGCGAAACAGTCAAGGTCCGACTTGGGGGAGGAGCGAATGCCGAACAAGACCAGAGGAGGTGGTCTGTCCAGTTCTCCGCGTCGTCTGCGGCGTGTAGGGTGGCCTTCAGCTGGCGGTGAAATCGCTCGATTTTCCCGTTAGCTACCCGAGGGTAGACTACAGTGCGGATGCGTGTACAGCCTAAAAAGGAGACAAAAACTGGTAGAGGTTAGATTTAGACTGGGCACCGAGGTCAGTCGTGATAGTATAGGGGGGAACCGAAAATGGCAACTCAACGACTAAGGAAAGCCTTGACAGATGTCGGAGCAACGGCATCAGGCAGAGGGATAGTTTCCGATCAGCGGGCGAATTGATCCACACAGGTGAGGAGACAGGAACAGCCATTGAACGGAAGCAAGGGGTCTACGATGTCCAGGTGGACATGACTGAACCGTGCATCCGGAGTGGGGAAGGCGCCGATGGAAGCTTTGTTGCGCCGCTGGACTTCATTCCGTTGACAGCGAAGACACGCCTGTGTCCATGCTTTCAGATCGTTGTGCATCCCAGGCCAGACGAGGCGGTCGGAAAGCAACTTGTCAGTGGCTCGACTCCCATGGTGTGATGGGTTGTGTAGGGAGGAGAAGACTTTGCGGCGGAGGGATGGCGGCACAAAGGACGGTGGGAGGTGTTGGAGACGTCGCATAGAATGGTGCCGTTGTCAGGTCCTGGAATTGGAGTTCAGAAACATCCTCGTCATATGGAGAACCAACACGGCGTTGTTCGACAGCCATCTCAGCTATGTTGATCCCGAGTGAAAGTTGAAGGTGTGCTGTGGAGGACCTGGACAGTGCGTCAGCCACCTCATTGTGTGACCCGTCGATGTGGCGGATGTCTGAGGTAAACTGCCAGATGTAGTCCAGTTGGCGAATTTCCCCGCGGGTTGAGCTTGTCAGAAGTGGACTTGAGAGCGAAGGAAAGGTCTTGTGATCCGTGAACACGGTGAAGCCTCTGCACTCAATGAAGTGCCGGAAGTGTTTCGTGGTGAGGAGGACAGCAAGGAGCTCCCGTCCAAATGTGCCATAGCGCGTCTTGGCAGGTGACAACTCCCTGGAGAATAAAGCTAAAAGTTGGACGTGATCTGCAAGGTGCTGTTTTAGAGCCGCGCCCACTGCAACATTGGAGGCGTCAACCATGAGGGAGATGGGAGTGTGGCACTCCACGCCTTCTAGCTCTCCATCGATTTGTCCTGCTGCCCTCCTATCCGACTCGCACTCCCTGTCGGCTCGCTGCTTGGAACCGCGATGCCTGTCACTAGCCTCGCGAGCGCTCGAGGTCACTCAACGCTGGCCCTTCTCTGATTGGCTGGCGACATTGGGGCAGAGCGAATGGCACACACGCGCTGGAGTCTAAGCACCTCAAAAGCGGACATTGACACAATGTGCCTGGAGAGACCGCTCGAGGCGACTGCATGCAGAGCCTTTGTGTACATACTTCCTCAGCGGTACAAGTTTTCCAAATCAATTCGTCTTCCCTGACTTCTGATTTGGGAACCTCTGTCTTGTCGAGCATACCATTCCGACAGGAGAATCGGGGGCACAGTACGTCAGGAGAGTGGCGTCAGCCAGAGCAGCCTTCACCTTGTCGAAAGCAGCGAAGGCGTTTGCAGACAGCTCGAACCAACTTTTGGGACTAACGGCAGTCGACCAGAAGATCGAAAGCGGCGAGGAGGTCTGCACCGAGAATGTCACAGGGGATGTCAGCAACGACGAAGACCCAGGGGAAAAGACGCCGGGGGCCGGTGTCCAGAGAGAGGAAACAGGTGCCGAAGGTGGTAATGGATGACGTGTTGACGGCCTGAAGGAAAAGGCCGAGATTGGAACATCGAGGATTAGCTGGTGTGAGTGGAATGACACTTAGTTGAACACCAGTGTCAACCATGAAGCGCCTGCCACTCCGGGTGTCATGGACATGAAATGTGCGACCAGGGTTAGAGCTGTCAGGAAGATTAGCTGCAGTGACCTTCGGGCTGACTGTTTTACCAGTTTGCTTGGAGTTGAGGGTGCAGGGGGGGGATGCAGCGACGGGCTTTAGCACCAAAGGTGATGTGATACCAGCAAATGGTGACTGTGTTGGAACGGGCCGAATGTACAGACTGGACATGCGAGACGGACGACTTTGGTTGGCTCTGAGATGAGGGAGGAATTGTCTGCTTCTGGAGAGAAGCTATATCATCGGCCCGCTTGGTAAGCCCGACCTCCAACTGTGAAAGGGGAGAAGCAGGAGGAGTTTGGGAGCTAAGAGTGCTGAAAGTGACGGCTTGGAAAAACCGTGCATCTCCGTAAGCCGTTCGGCCACCACATACTTCTGATGTAGAGATGTAGCACGGCAGAGGCAGAGAAAAACGAAGAACGCTTGAATACTTCACAGGGACCCAACAATAAATGGAGGACTTCCCAGAGGCTATCAAAACGGTCTGCGGCACCCAACCTATGGGGAACGCACCGCTACTTAATTCTGATAGGACAGCACTCCTGTAAGAAAGATAACAAGTTCGGGAGGGTTGAATCAGGCATATCGGACATCCGTAACATCCGACGGAAACAGCAAAATTCTTTCGGATGAATACTAACGTGAACCTCGACCGCCGCCCCTCCCCTCTCCCTCCTGAAGGAGACCATACAGCGGATGTCCGGTGACAAATCACGGTGCACCACCTCAATTCAGGCCAAAATCTACAGATTTAGCGACCCTTAACTCATGGGCAAGTCCACTCCCTACTTCAGATATGGAGACAAGGACAACGTCCCCAGGACTTCAAAATGGTCATTATTATCCACTTACACAAACTTAATGGGAAACGGGCAGCTCTGTGATAAACACATCTCCAATGTTCTTCACAATGGCGACAAACACCCGGCATTGCCTATACAACTGAAGAACAACTGTCCAACATATATCGGATGAAAACAACCCTGTGTATCACGACTTCCTGTTCGCAGACGACTGCGCGCTCAACACCATAATGGAAATGGAAATACAATGGGATATTAATCTCTTTGCATCCGACTGCCCCGACTTCGGATTGACCTCTAGGACCAAGGGACAGTGTTCAGGCATTAACCTACACAAAATAGCGACTACAACGAACACAATATCAGTGTCGATTGAATTGGCTTCATACCTGGGGACAGATTCATGTATCTAACACTTGCAATTTGAAGAAGTATCAGGATTGACGATGAAATTACATTTAGATAATCAAGGTCCGCCCGGCATTCGACCAGCCATATCATTCAGTTTGTAGCATCGCAGGCTTCACGTGAGCACGAAAATGAATACTTGCAGGGTCGTCATCTTGTCAGCGCTTTCGTATGGAGCGCAGACGTGAATAGTCTCTAAAAGCCAAACACCATCTTAGCCGCCGTCGAATACTGAAAGTGGTGGCAGAAAAATATCCCAGACACCGATATCCTAGGAGGAACAGGCTTCCATGGTAGATGTGCCATGCTGACGCAGTTACGACAGACTTGAAGCCGTCACTTTGTGAGGGTGCAAGGCGAGCGCCTATCCAATAAAGTATTCTACGGTGACGTGGGTGCTCACGATAAGGAATGACGATATAATTACGCCCTGAAGACCTCTCCCAAGCACCCGCAAATCAGCCCCGATACCTGGGAAGGCCTCGCGCAGGATCGGCAGGTCTAGCGTACTATCATAAGGACTGGAGCAGCCATTTTCGAAGTTAACCGAGTAGCAAAGTCTATGGGAAAATGAGATGGCGGCAAGACTTACATGCTGTGGAACGACACTGCAATCACCTAACCCCTGCTAATGTGCCCATGTTGCTAACCGACATCCCGGTCAGGGATCGGCCCCATTGGATATTAGCGGCAAACAGCCGTGGGCGCGAAAGGCGGAGGCGTGAATACTGGAGTCGGTGAGGATCACCAGTGTTATCGCCGAACAATCCTCCGAGAATTTATACGTCAACGGCCACACCCACAAGCCACTTTTAATTCCAGGACAAACTCCCAAATCAGTCAGCCTAGGTCGGGGAAGGCCAAAAACCCAACCATCTGCGTGTAGCCCTCCCACATCACCTACCCAGAACTTAGCCATTCACTGTTCACTTCGTCCAGACTGCCACACAACAGTCAGCAGCCCGCACGAGTGGAGTACGTCAACCACCTGAACACGTCAACACTTGATCTAAGTGTTTGGCTGGGAGCGACAAACAAGCCCACCCAACAAAATTGGCGTGTAACGTCATGGGAGAAGGGTTTCATGAGCATTCCCTTGCCAAAAATATACGTACAAGCCCTATTCAGCACAGCCTTTTAAAGGACGATTGTGTCCTGTGAACCAACTAACAGAAAGCTGGATAGAGAAGACGTCGAACACAACAAAATGTCGGATATAGTTAACCAATCTGCGGTGTATTGCAGTCTGTACGTCTGATTCAGTCAACTGCACGCTGCAGGTGGACCACATCACAAACAATCACTGCATTCGGTGGCAGACTCCCGAGCGAAGTGAAGCCAGATAATACGTCAACCTCGCGGGCTGAAGGGCCAGAGATCTGCATGGTCAGCTTCCAGACACTACATCCATGTTTTCGTTGGCCATCCTGAGGTCGTCAGCAACAACGAGCGGGACTTGACGATATAAAGTACAGGAAGAGTTCGCCCTCCAGGCTGACTTGGTGCGTAGCCTAGCATTCCAGTCGGCCAATGATAACGGTGGTTGGCGAGTGCTTCGGCACGGACTGGATGGCCGTTCATCGGAAACGGGACTGAGACGAACTTTGAAATGCGAGCGCATGTAAAATTGATCAGACACCCCCTGGCTTCAAATATTTTCTGAACGCATGGGTCATGCACTGAAAGTGTTTCAATAAAAGCCTTATAAACTCGCAGTCCGACCTTCCGACTGATGTCACTAGACTTTTAGAGGCTTTGAAAATGTCGAAGACCGCGTTCCTGACCGACCCGACAGTTGAATTTATTCCCGCCGTGAAGAGACATATATCTCCGTCTGCGAAACCCGGAGCGGACGTTTCTATCTACCTTCGCATATATCTGGGAAGGGTACGTAACATTCGCACAGAGGAGCTAGTCGGTATTGGAGCGTCATCATTGCAGTCCGAATACGACGAGCACGAACCACAAATGCTGTAAGAACAGAGTAACCCATTTTACTTCGCAAATGAAAAGAAGTTGTGGGAGAATATACCCTGAGAGATGGTGACGATATCGAAGAAGGCACCGTCCTCGCCACCAGCACGGAATTTGTTGATTTTTCAGAGATAGTAGGTCCGAATCACTTTGTATGACCTTTTCGAAAAGGCATAATGACGCGTGATCGATCACTGCAAATCCTGGTAGGCCGAGTCGGATGTAGGGATGCGGACTAAACGGTGGCGATAGGTGGGCAACATTTGCTGCACTCGCGGTATATCAGGACGACAAGTTCTGACCAACACTTTAGTACTCTGGTTGAAGAGCGCACAGATTCCTCCTTGCTTATTTATCGCAGGAGCGATTGAGGGGATGACTGCGAAGCCCTCTGCAGTAATGTCAAAAAGGTGTGTGCCACGACAAATTCAACAGTTACCTGGCCCTTATTGAAAAAGCGCGCAACGATAAAACCACTCGTCTATGGGCCCGACTTTTGTTTTTAGAATACGGGTCCAGTAACCAGGTGGTTAATACTGTGGTACAGGAAGCGTAGATTTTTAATGAAAGGAAGTCTTCATAAAGTATTTTGTCTTTTTAAAAAAACTGCCACCAAACCGAAAGTCTTTTTCAGATATGACAAGCCACAGCTGCATTCATATTCAGGCGGCTGGACTACTTAATGTCGGATTTCAGTCATGAGGGCAGGAAAAAACGCGTCAACCACTGGAGTTTGTTGTCTAACGTATTAGGCAGACATGGTATGACGATATAAAAGCCCCAGGCCCCTGTCGCTAGCTCTGGCGTAACCAGCCAAATAGTTTACTCAGAGATCTAATGACTGTTGCAGCGCGTGTCGTAGCCTGGAACCAACTTGACTTACTTTTGATAAGCTGTGTCAGTTCGCGTGAGCCAGTTTCGACTGGAAACACCAGAGGAGCAAAAGCTGTCGATGGCAACGTGATAAAGCAGCCGTGTTTAAGACATAACCCATGAGGGCGGGACGGTGCTTGGCAAGTCTTGCTTTTCAATCAACGTGGTCGAAGTCGTAGTCGAAACTTCCTTTGCTCTCACCATCGGCAAAACGCATCATGCGGAGGCCTAGTATGGGGATGGCCCTAGGTGCCCGGAAAGGCATTTAGTTTCATCGTCATCGTTTGAGAGGGTGGCACGAAGTGCTCCTAGTGTTGAGAGCAGTAAAACACATCAGTTTTTCATCGTCCGGGAAATAGTATCCTACAGCGAGTGGTAGGAACTCAGCTCATAGATGGATCGCACATCCTGTTGTGACATTTCAATTGCCCGCGACGATGGGCCCGTACATCAGGTCACGCCAGAATACTCAAAAATATCACGGTTATAAAGTAGTTCAAAGAGCGATCGACTGGATCTTCAGGAAAATATAACCTTTTGAGAACCGAACGGCGTCTTCCACTGGATCTCGTCCGCATGTATTGCTGGTTAGAGGTGAGAAGTAGAACGAGACGAGCTCTTTTGGCCCCAATGACAAAGGACATACAAGTATGCACGACAGTTTGTTCGAAAACTCCGCCGAAGGCGCTTTCGCGCACTCTAAATGTTAAAGCAGATGCATTTTGAGTTCTGATCCGCACACCTGGTCAGGAGTTGTACTACTTGTTTGCCTCGATAATGTCGCAAACCTTACTTATCCACGCGCGAGGACCGGAGCAGCAGACCTGGACAACTCAACCCATTCTCTTTGCCAGCGACGGAAACCAGATACCGAAGGTCCGAGAATCACTTCCATTTCTTGACGAACTACGTCAAACCAGATTTCGAGTTGACCGCCTCTTCGAAGCCTCCGATGGGGTAACGGTGCCGGGTCGAGGACAGTAACACTGAGCTCCTAAAGTGTATGACGAAGAACATGTCCAAACTACCTCAGTCATCTTTCTTGGATGGCCTGGGTTATCCTTTAGATGATGTCGCAGCGAGCGCAGACTGTCTCATTTGGGACGAAGTCGGCGTACTTCACTCGAAGGATGGTCCTCAAGTAGTGGTGGTCAAATACACCCCGTTTTACCTTATCTTCCACGAGCACAGACCAGCATTAACGGCCGTAAAGGACGGACCGGATGCATGTACGATACACGTGAATATTCGTGACGATAAAGATGTTGTATCGAGTTCCCAGACACTTTCGATGACTTGAGAAAACCCGGTGGGCAGCACTGATTCGGGAGGCAATGTCGTCCTTAATCTGTCCATTTGGCATCAGCCTCGCCGCGAGGCATTTGAAACGGTCTACATCCTCAAGTTAACAGCCATCGATCTCGAGAGGCGCCTTCTCTTGGTCAGGAATGCAGCTTGGAAACACTTTGGTTTTCCCAGCGTTTGTAGATAAACCGAAGGATTTAGCTACTTTATTCATCCGTGACACCATAGACTGTAGACCGTCAAAGCTTAAAGCTAGTAAATCGATATCATCAGCATAGTGGAGATCAAGATAACAAGGCATGATGTGAAAGTTGCTGAAATTTGTCACTCACAACAGTAATTGAGGTGATTGAGATTTCTTATTTCACATGAGGAACAGCCACGCGCGGACATCGTCAGAACATAAGGCAATAAATAGGATGGAGCACTCATAATACAACTCGCCCTCTCAGCGAAGTAATTTGCGTATACTTCGAAATAGACGACCTTATTATGGAGGTGGTCGACCTCAGCCGGGTTTCGCGGGGACCATTTCGTGGCCATGAGGCTGGTGCTTAAAAAACGAATTGAGTCCAAGTGGGATTTTAGTAGGTTTAACAAAGCATAACGTCGTCTAGATCTAGGTCCTACTTCCGGCAGTGGCGTGACTAGGCGGTCATGCAGACAGGGGCACATGCTACGTCCCACCTTCGCACACATGCCGTTTTGTTTATAATTTTTGCGTTATCGTTCTCCTGTTTTCAGATGCTTCTGCTTCTGGCCCACGCAGGGCACTCCGACTTGCACAACTTCAATGAGCCATGTCGGTACTCACCATACAACGAGCAAGGCATGAACCGTTGAACGGGCACTCCAGTGTTTGCTGCCAAAAGCCCGTGAAGATGACGTCAAACAGGAACTGGAAAATTCAATATTCTACATATTTATGAAATTTGCCACGCAGTTCTATGGCACTTGAGATGTATTCCGCCTTAACGAGAATAATAGAAGACTCTGAAGTCGTCTCCAATGCTGGCAAGGTGTTGAAAGTTTGCGGTGCTCGCATTCAAATATACATCCAATTGAGAAACGTGCATGCGTAACGACCGCTTCCGGAAACAACAAATGGTATAACACAGACAGACTGTTTCTGGAAAAAATTAAAAGACATGAACTAAAGTCCAAACTATGAAACTTCAAAAATGAGGTGAATAAGCCCAACGAGGGAAAATGCACGTTAGGGTTGCAAGCCAGAATTCAAGGTGAAGTGGCCACCAGATTCTCAATTGTAAAAAGGACAGGGTGATCACAGACGATGGTGATTTTCGTATCTTTCACTTTGTTCGAAGTTGAAATCAGGCCCTCGAAATCAAGAGTTTGATTATCTTCGTGAAATAAACGGAAAAAAATAAATACCAAGGTTCCAAACAAGACCCGTTGTGGTAACAGTTGACGGATAACCTATCGGAATCAACCCGCAGTGGGCTCCGATATGCTGACTTTCAAGCATAACGACGTGTGAACCCTTTCTAGAATGTGGTGACTATACGAAATACCTTAAGCAATAGCCAGGAGATTGAGGATTCGGTGACAAGCAAAACAGGCAATTCAGTAAGGTCGCGAGCGATGAATAATGTCTTCAGTATCCCTAGCTCGTGATCAGTTCGTCCACCGCTTCCATAAAGGGCAACAATATAGTCGATTTTCTAATGGAAAATGTTTTAGTACTATAAGTGCTCACAGACGTACCTGTACAGGGTCCGAGGTGTTCATTGAATTTACAGCACGAGAAACAATCTCGAGACATTTCGTGAAATCTGTAGCGTCCTGATCTGGCGTATGGATGACTTGGACTGTGGGCTACAGAGTAAGAGAGTAGATAAGACTTCACTATTGTTTTATAGAATTCTAGCACGCCAGGGCGCACAGAGTCGAAGTCCCCCGTAAGGAAATTAGGCAGGTGTGTGTCCCTAAATTTTCCGTCATATAGTCTGTTGGCAAAGCCGTCAACAGCGGCCGTAATCTTAGCTGTGAAAATCATATTGCATAATTCAAGTACCGTTCGTCCAAAGCCGACGAAAAAGGATTTCGGGCCAATTATTATTCGAATTTAGACAAATTAAAGCAATATTTACACCTATAGTTGAGCCACAAAGAAAACCGGATACCTTCACTGAAAATGCAGAACGGATTGGTACACACTGTTTTCATTAGCTAGTGGCCGGCTTATCTCTAAAACACAGACAAGCCCCCACGTTTTTGCGCGACGAAGTAAGCTTTTAGGATCAACAGTAAATCAAATCTGAGTGCAAGGTTTTCAAGGTTGTTTTGGTCAAGGTACAGAGGACCTAGGTCCTCCTACGTCTCTGGATTGGTATGCAGTCGCTTAAGAGAATTTTTCAAAATACTATCGTAGCGTCGTCTTGGTCCTCTCGGTCGGCAAGGACCCGTGTTGTCATCACCACAGAAGAGCAAATCTGGCAGGTGACTGCCGTTTCAACGCCGTTGCGGGTCTCTAATCATAGCGTAGGTGCCGAGAACTCCAGTCCGTTTTGGGAAATTCCTGTCCGGAATCACGTCCTTCCATCTCAGCCAGTGTATTCTGGAAGGCAAATGAGCTGGAGGTGGTTAACGTTCTTGGCATGGCTGGAGTAGACGGTCTAAGTCTCCGCTCCGCATGCTAGTGTCATCGGAACAACGGTCTTGTAACCTTCAGTTTGTATTTAGTTGAAGGCCGGGGTGATTCCACCCGGAGCACTGCAGCTGGCCGAAAGTTTGGCTGGCTTTGGAGGTCCAGTGGACCACTTCGTCGTGGATTCTTGTGCTGCGGAAAAGTGTTTCTCAGACAAGCGAAGTTGTCTATGGCTTTTATTTGGCCGCTGTCGACATTGATTCAGTGAGTAGCGCTGTGTTGCGTGTTTGGTGATGGTTTTTGCACGGATACCGTTTTGTACGTGTTGGTTGTCGACCGAAGTTGACGCAGTCGGCCGGCAAAAAGTCCGTTCTTCGTTGAATACCCACTTCGGTCACATGATGGATTGTGGAGCCGCCAGCGAAGAGCTGATCCTTTATGGTGGTTGTGCAGAGGCGCGTCGGGGCCGGCATTTGCCGGCTGTCGAGAAGATGCCCGTCATTTCTGTAGACGATGCAAACCATGGGGCGCTCATCACGGTAAACGTCCCTCAGCATGGCAGGGAACATGAGGCTGAAGAGGGTGGGAGCGAGTAGACAGTTCTGCTTCACTCCATTGGTCATTGCAAATGCCTCGAAGATTAAGCGATTGTCCGTGACGCACGCCACTACCCCGTTATGGAACTGACGTATCATGTGCGTGAATCGTCCAGGACAGTCCCACTTCTTCATGATTTTCCACATTCCCTGTTGATTCACCGTATCGAGAGTTTTTGTCAAGTCCATTAAGCTAGTGTAGATATGGGTTCACATCTCCTGGTACTTCGCCTGTAGCTGGCGAACGCCAAAGATCATATCGGTCGTTCTCATGTGGCGTCACATGCCACATTTTCTTTCCGGTAGGAGTCCTTGCTCAAGGTGGCCGTTGAGACGATCGAGGACGATGCGGAGAAAGGTCTTCCCGGAAACGTTGAATAACGAGGTGCCTCTGTGATTATCACAGCGTTGCCGGTTCACTTTGCGCTTGTACAGGTGAACAATAGTTGCTTTCTCAAATCGTTAGGAGATTGACCACAGCGCCACATCATCTGAAATAACGTGATGAGCCGGTTAATCGGACGGTGGCCGCCATACTTGTAGATTACGTCTGGGATCGCATAGTAGACTGATGCTTTCCCGCTGGAGAGCTGTTGCACAGCACAAATGGTTTTGTGAGAAAGGGTGGGAGGGCGGGAGATTCAGGTCTTCTATCGTTTCCACTTGGATGGGTCGGTTGGTCGAGTCGTCGGAGGTCGTGGAGCGTCGGTTGAGGAGGCCCCGGAAGTGTGAGGCCAAGCGCTCTAGAATCTGCGACTTCTCCGTTAGAAGCGTTTGTTGATCAGAGCTGAGAAGTGGCGCAGTTCCTTTGGCTGGGAGACTGTAGATCATTTCGATCGCAACGAAAAATTCTTTGATTCATTGCGGTCGGTATATGCCTGGTGTCCTATGGCTCTCGTCATCGTCGCTGCGCATGGTGATGACATTGATAAAAATTCGCTTTGTTCGTATCGGTTGAATGGTCAAGGTAGGTTCTGCGCAACCGAGAGAAGGGGAAGGGGGCAGAGTTACCGAGTGTGGAGACACGCCCGGATGCCCTCACGTTATTTTGCCCGTCGGTCGAGGCGGTTGCCGGAGTGTGGCCGCCAGGCAGAGCCTAGCTTCGAGGAGTCATATATATGAGAGTTGGGTGCTAGTTAATGGGCGCTGGGCTTAGACGGCGATCGGCATATCCCTCGATATCTTTGCCCTTATTCGCAGCGGAGGTGTCCTACAGTCCTCATCATTGTCGCTGCGCATGGCGGTGATAATAATAGTAGTTTGCTTAATTCGTATTGGTTAGAGGTCAAGGTAGGTTCTGCAGAGCTTGTTCTTTTCGACCAGCAGGCTGGTGATGCCTGCGTCGTTGTCGTCGAACCAGTCCTGCTGTTGGCGACGTACGCGCCCGAGGGCGGCCGTGGAGTTCGGATGGACGGAGTCCTGACGTCGGCACCGTCGAGTCCGCACGGTCTCCTTTTCACCTGCTTCTGCCAGGTCTTCCAGTAGTTGGATCAGTTGATTGCTGAAATGAAAACGGAATGCAGGCAAACACAACAACGCGGTATTCAGCTTTCCAGATGATCGCTTAACTTGTGGCCTCCTGCGAGATTGCGGACAGAACCTCATCTTGGAGACACCAAGGTGATGGTTCGCCCAGCCATCAGCGACATAAATCTCCTTGCTCACCACCACGTCCTGTCGATCTCGCCTGCGAAGAAGAACATAGTCCATCAGCCGCAAGCGCCGGGATCGGTGGTGCATCCAGGCGGTCTCCTTCCACACCGGCAGGCACAGATTCACAGAAAGATTCCACTGTTGTTGTAGTGGGGCACACGGCATGTATCGTCAGCAGCGATGGTCGAACTTATTGCGTGTGTTCGATATAGGTGTGTCCAGCGTTAGGTCAAAGAAATGGCCTTGTAATTCAGTATACTTCAGTGTATATAAAGGATATAGACAAAACGTTGGAAAATCCTATTTCCAAACAGACGGACGAAAAGCATGCACATATCTACAAAACGGTTATGCAGCCACTGATATCGAGTAAATATTTGACCATCAAGCATACATTTATCAAGTCCTTTTTGAAAGTCTTAACATTTTCCGCCAAGATAATGGAGTTCGCAAATCATTTCATCTTTCAGCCAGCCGATGGGAGAAGAATTTGGCCCGCACATTAAGTTTTGCATATTTTATCTTCAGTTTGTATTGCTGGCCCCGAAGATTGATCGTTCGCGCCAGTTCGAAGAAATCGTCAAACTGGTAAGCACATTCGAGCCCTTGGACGATCCCAAAGGCCATGACCATACCACTCTCTACTGTCTATAAGAGAGAGAAAATATTTTATTGCATTTTCAGGCGTCTCTCATAAGGTAAGTAACTTAATCCGTCGACCAGCTTGGTTGCTCTTCTTCGTACGACCTTCAGTAGGGTGTTATCCTGTTTCGTACAGGGACACCATGCCTGGACGCAATAATAAAACATTGGCCGAACAAATGTTCCAAATACTCGACCAAAAAGTTCTTCGTCAGAATTTAGGAAGGATCTCCTAATCGCGTCTACGATACCCATAGCCTTTTTTGATACCTCGGAGCAGTGAGACCTGGGTTCGAGAGCTGACGCCATCCACGCACCGAGGTATCTTAACTCGTTGATTAATTCGAGTTGGTGACCTCCCATATAGTAGTGAGATTCAAATCTCAACGGCCGCCCGTTGATAGATAGTAATCGGATAAGTTGACATTGGGTAAGGATGAGGTTGAGGAACCACTAATCACACGACTGTTGCGAGCGATTCGAATTGTTTTGTATATGTAGAGAGTCTTCCGGCTTCCATATTGATTTCCACAATTTGAGACCGTCGGCATACATTATGCGCTCACAGTTCAGACAGTCCAGGCAGACATTCGCATATATTTAGAACAGAATTTGACTCAGAACGCTCTCCTGCGGAACGCCACTTGCTTGTAGGTGTTGATTACTTCTAGCGTCCATTAACTGACACTACACTCTCATATGTGGCTCCTCGGATCTAGGCTCTTCCTAACGGCCACACCCCGACAACCACCTCGACCGGCGGGCTAAAGCAGATGAGGGTTTCCAGTGTTGTGTGTGTCCCCATACCCGGAAAATGTGCTCCTCTCCCCATCCCCCCTCTCTCCTCAATATCAAAATTCCTACTGACAGGGCGACGCAAAGTCCCCTAGGGGGCCCAGGCTAACTCGAGTCGCCCTCCACTACACAAAGCCGTGACTTATAATTGAATTCGGCAGCCGTCTAGGATGTCTGAGCAACCTCATTTGAGGATGCCACTGCTCACGTAGTCACTGGTAGGGGACTAGAAAACGTTTCGTGAACAAATTCTTGAGAATCGCGCCATCTACATGTGTACAGTGAGTCGTAAATGCAAAACTCACGATCGAAGAAATGCAATGAACAACAGTTACCCTCGTCCCGCTGCCCTCTACCTCCTCCGTGCTTCTATGATGAGCCCGTTCAATCTGGTAGCCTGGAGTTTTCTTCCCCTTTCCGACAATCCCAGGAACAACCGGCCAGAATGGAGGACGACGCTAGTCAAAATAGAACCGATACGCCTTAAGGTTGACACTGCTTGTCTCAGCAAGACCCGGTTCTCTAAAAAGGGTTAGCTGGATGAGGTGGATACCAACTACACCTTCTTCTGCAGCAACCGATCCCAAAATAGAGTTACGAGACGCATGCATCGTCTTTGCTATTCAGAACGACATCGCGGAACGACTGGCTAGTATGCAGCGGGTCATCAAGTACCAACTGATGAGCCTGTGCCTGCCTCTTCGAGGATCCAAATTCGCCACAATCATCATTTTACGCCCCCACAATATCCAGCTTCGACGAGGCGAAGATTAAATTATACGGGAATCTGCACGCCCTTCAGATGACTGTGTCGGAGGCGTAAAACTGGTTTCCCTTGGCGAATTTAACGTCCGCGTCGGGACAAACTACTTTGCCTGGAGAGATGAGCTGAGGCCTCATGAAATCAACGATTGCAACGATAATGTCCTCCTTTGCCTACGTACCTGCGCTGTATACCGCCTCATTCTGATCGACATGCTCTCCCGCCTGCCGATGCGGAAGGCCATTTGGGTGCACGTCCGATCGCGGCGCTGGCAGTTGTTGGACTATGCTCTGTTACGAAGGAGAGATCGACAGAACGTGATGGTGACCAATGGGGTCTGCAACGTCGTTGGCTGGACGGAACATCGTCTCGTCATCTCCAAATTGAGATTTCATCTGAAATCCCGCGGAGGGCTGCAAGTTAAGTGATCAACAGCTAAGTTTAATACTGTTTTGTTGAAGTTGCCTGCTTTCCGTTTGCATTTCAGCAATCAGAAGAACCGCCAGCCCCGGATTAGCACGCCATCGGGGAGACTCTGTGGTGTCAGCTGCGGACATCTATTCAAACAACAGCTTTGGACGTCAGTGGACGCGCACATCGTCAGCACCAATACTGGTTTGACGAAAACGACTCAATAATAAGCACCTTGCTCGCCAAGAAGAACAGGCTACATCGAGCCTACACTGACCGCCCAACCGATACGAACAAAGTGGCCTTCTGCCGATGTCGCCGCCTTCTGCACCAACGATTGCGAGAAATGAAAAACGCCTGGATGTCTCGCAAGACGGAGGAGATCCAGAGAGATGCATACGGCAATGAATTAAGCAAATTCTTCGCAGCGAGCAAGGCGATCTACGACCTCTCAACCAAAGGAATCGCGCTACTTCTCAACTCCAATGTAGTGGCGCTTCTGATGGAAGAATCACAGATTCTAAAGTGTTGAGTTGAGCACACCAGCAGCATGCTCAACTACCCATCAACCATTCCCATCGCTATCGACCGACTTCCCAAGTGAAAATGAATGAAGACATGGACCTCCCCTCATCCCTTTCAGAAATCAGCCGCGCCTTGCAACAACTATCCTGCGGGAATGTATGGGAATCCGGTGCGACTCTGATCAAGGTTCATAAGCACTATAGCCCCAAACTAATGGACCAACACACCACTGCAGGAGATGTGGCGCTGAAGACAAGGTCCTCAGTATTTCAAAGATGCGACAGTCGCCCACCTCTACAAAGGAAAGGGGAGCCAGCAACTCGGTGATAGCCACCGATGAAATTTGCCGCTCAACAGCGCCGGGATGATCTTCGTTCCTATACTGTCCAATCGTATCAACGGTCATCTCGAGGAAGAACTTCTGCCAAAAGCCAATGTGACTTCTAACGTCACCTTAGAACCACCGACATGATCTTCGCCGTCCACCAGCTAAAAGAGATGTGTCAGAAGATGCAAACCCACCTCTACACCAACTTCGTGGTTGTGAAAAAGCCTTTGACGGGGTAAATCTCGAGGGACTGTGGAAAGGCACGCAGAAATTCGGCCGATCCGAGCGCTTCCCGCATGTGCTGTTTCAGTTTCAGGTGGAGACGATGGCGTGCGTCATAGAAAATGGGACCGTCCCAGAAGTATTTGCAGCGGAGAAGGGAGTAAGGCTGGTCTGTGTACTTGCACTCCCATCTTCGGTCTGCCGTGTTTATAGGTGTCTGCCATGATGAGCGCGCCGGCAGCGCCTTCAGGACTGATAGCCATCTTCTCCACATGCGGTGCCTGCAGGCCTAACTAGGGCTTTCTACTATTACAGTCCACGATCCGATCTTTGCGGACGACTGTGCGCTAAACACCGGGACCGAAGAGGGCATTCGATAGAGCTTGGAACTCTTCGCCGCCGGGTGCGCTAACTTCGGACTGATAATCAATACGGACAAAACGGTGGTCATGCACCAGCCACCACCGAACGCTGCATACAGTATTCCTCGTACCCACATCAACAGCACCGAGCTGAATGCCGCAAACGATTTCGCTTAATTAGGCAGCACACTAGAACTGCATCAAAATCAACGGCGAAGGAACCCACCGGACCTCCAAAGTCACTCAGGCCGTCGAACGGTTACGGAACTCCGTTTCGAACGGGTATTGTCTCCACCTGAACACTCAAATGAAATCCTACAAAACTGTCATCCTGCCCACGCTGCTGTATGGTGTGGAGGCCTGGACAATCTGCATCAGACAAGCACGGAAGCTCAATCACTCCTATGTCATTAGTCGCAGACGGATGCTAAAGTTGAAGTGGTAGGACAGGATCCTGGACACGGAAGTCCTGGAACTTACCAGAATTTTCAGCACCCACGTCGTTCTGAGGCAACTGCAATTGCGATGGAGCGGCCATCTCGTGAGGATGAATGGCACTTGCCTACCAAAACCACTCTTCTACGGAGAGGTCGCCACGGGTGCTCGCGACGAGAAAATCGAACTCTTCACTCCAAGGACAAATGGAAGAATACTTGAGGCAACCATAAATCAACCAGAAGACTCGGGAAGACTCCGCGCAAGGCCGACCGACTCGGAGAAGAGCAGTAGAGATAGAGACAGCCATCCGTAAAGCCAACCAGATCGCCACTGCCAAAGCCAAGGGAGAAGCTTGCAAGTCTTAGGCACCCTTCACCTGCAACATGAACGGTCAACCCTCCCTGGCATGCTCACGGTGCCAACGAACATTCCGTGCTCAGAACGACCTTGTTGGACATATCGGGACCCGACGCACCAACCACTGACATCTCTAACTGTCGTCTCCATGATCACTCCTGCTTCAACTCACCCCGGCATCCGCGACGGTGCTCGTCCCCACTGCCGATGCTCCGAATCATTGTGCCCCACCGTCATCGATCAGCACCGTCTCCATCATCAATGACGACATTTCCGCGACGACGACGGCCATAACCGACCGAAACTCTCCCGACGTCCACTAGCTGCCACTCTCATCAGTATTTGAGGCACCAAAATACATTCGCCGCATCGGCCTTCCCTGACCACGCGCATTCATTGACAGCATGGGTCTATTCGGTCACATGCGCATCCACGAAATCGGAACCCACTGTGGTATCGACACACCTGGCACACCCTGCACACCCACCATGCCTAGCGCAATCCACACCCCGTTGTCCTGCGTGCCCACCATTAACAATGCCATCAAAGAGACCGACTCTGCAGCTCCCGACCTGTCCAGCCCACGATGTTACCACACATTCACCTCATGCATCGTCCTGGCCAGTTACTTGCGAATCCATTTCACGGAGACTGGCGAGCCAGTGCTCGGGGCACCGAGATACACCGGCCTCATCCGCGCCAATTACTCCATTGTCTTCGCACACTCTCTCATCAGTACATACATCACGCATGGGCATCTTCAACACCTCACATTAACAACACCTCTCGCGTAGCTGGGCTTGTAGTGGCATTACACTAGGTGGTCATGGAAACGCCGCGCCTCTTGCCAGTGCCTGCACCAACGCACCAGTGCCAACCTGCTTCGGCACGCACGCCTAGCTGCCTTCAATTTGTCTCGCTGCAATTCTGTCCGCACCACGCATCCGGTCGACTCTCTGCCTTCACCATGCGAGGCTTGTCACTACCCTCGCGTGGGCTTAAAGTCAATCAAAGCAACCCTTTCGCCGGTTGGTTACAGAGGAGTATAAACGAAATTAGTGGCGTTAACAACTTGCCTGGACACTTTTGCAGCAGCAGTTTAAGGCAAGATACGGCACGTCACTCTGGCGGGCGCTGCCTTGGCGGCGCCAGACACACTCTAGTCCGGCTACCAACATTCCTTCATCATTCCGCACAAAAATCCTCTTTCCCACTGGCGTCTAGTTCTTGTCTCTTCTTACCCGGGGCCGTACGGGAAGATTGTAGTGGCTAGGGTCATACGAAATGACTTTAATTGTTACGATAGGCTCTATGCCATTTGGCCCCTCTCTTTATGACATCTGAGCTATCTACCTCCTTGTGTGTGTAATCCTGATGCTGGCGTTTGTGAGGCCAGGTCGTGCAAGTGACACGCGGATGTGCACCGTAACATTATCAGCTACTGTGCTCACTCCGCGCATCAGGCAACTGACCGGTCCGGACACTGAATTGGTACCCGGAAGTGGAAAGACAAAATGAAGTAAACGGTCCCAGCGCATATTCTTCACTATAAACACTTAGAAACGCTTGAGACTATCACAGCGCGCCAAAAGTCATGGTTTGCATGGCTGCCAATTCACAGGATAACTCGGACCTCGCAGTCAGACCAGTGTGTTTTTTGTGAGGTGGCCGACTGATGGACTGAGAGTAAGGCTGCAATGACTCCCTCTTAATGTGGCCTATATAGCACTCCCACTCACTGGGACCCGAGCCAATGCGGTGGAACGCGCTTAATTGTGGATTTTCGCCGTGGCAGTCATCTGCGTCCTCTCTCGACTCCGTTTGACTATGTCTTGACACCGGCCCAGGTGGGTAGCAGAGAGCGCGGTAGATGCGGAAAAATTCACATACCTTGGAGGCGAAATTCCAATTAATTTCAAGATCGTAGACAAAGTGGTTCACCTGGTTTCCAAAGCTAATCGGTCTTCTGCCGGCTGCAGTCGTCAGTCTGGAACCTTCGAGGGCTGTAGCCCCGATGAAGATGTTATACGGGATGGGGACATGGAGATAATATGCTGTACAAACAAGGAGACTCAATCATTACCACCTCAGCTCTCTCCAAATAATATTGGAGCTGAGGTAGCAAGATAGAATCCCAGACACGGAAGTCCTAGAACAGACCGAAATCCTCGGCATCCATGCCATGCTGAAACAATTTTAACTACGATGGATCGACCACAGCGCGTGAAGTGACGAGTGTCTACCCAAGCACCGGTGACTTCGCAAGGAGAGTCCTTCGGCATAGAGGACAGAAACGACGTTAAAATAACTCTGAAAATGCCCCAGAGAATCTGCCAATCAAACCGGAGACCTGGAAGTACCTCGTCCAAGCCCCTCTAGGCGTGTCCCCGCTAGCACCGGCCATTTCGCGCACGGATCGACCTTGGCGGATATGCCAGGACCCAATGCGATTACGACGCAAAAACTCCACCTACTGTCTCTGCAAACGCCCCGTCGTCACACCTGAAGCGAACCCTGTAATCCCCTCAAAAATAACCCCCACTGACGAGCACACTCCCGATACCCCACCGCTGCCGCCTCATCATCACTGTCACAGCACGTGCGTCGACGACGACTACCAACCGTCCCATTCCTATCGTTGGAGAAACCCCCAATGGGACCTGTAAATCAGCACACTTGTCGAACCGCCCTCACCACCAACAATACAGACTTGACCCAAAACGTTTCCCAATTCGACCGCACCTCGAAACCACGCACTGTCTTTTCCGGTCACTTGCGAATCCATCGTATCGAGACCGACGAACTTTTGTTTGGAACCCCGACATACACCCGGATCAACCACTTGCACCGTCTACACACACTGGGTCACCAAATGGGCGTCCATAAAAATCTGCGGTAAATTACCGGAGACCAAACCCCATCACCACACATCATTCCGCTAAGGCATACACCACACAAGAACCCATCCTACATCACCCACCATCATCATCTCACTCAAGCAAGAAGCGAATTCTTCGGCTCCTTTCCCATGCGGCATCTTCAGTACTCTAATGCATGCGATATCCGAGCAGCCCACATTCTTTATACAAAAATCAGATATGTTGTGTGTGGGGCCAGGCCACGTGGGGTACGCGCAGACGAATTGTTTAGTCCTGTCAGTCACTTGCGTCCAATACCCAGATCAGATGACTGACCGGCTTCGACAGTAGACTGGTGCGACCCCATAGCACGCAACGCATATTCCTCCCTATACACAATCGTACGCGCTTGTAAACTATCATGGCGTGCTAAAAGTCCTGGCTTAGATGGTTGCCAAATGACGGGATAACTCGGTCCTGTTCTCGGGACGGAGAGTCAAGCGAAAATGGTTTCGATTGACTGAAGTTCAGAGCTCTGTGTTGGTGATTTTAGAAATATGATGGGCTCGCGGGAACAGGTTTATTGGAATTTTGACGTCTCAGAGAGCGGGGTCGGCACACCACGGTCAAAGCGTAAATGCTCTCATTCGACCATAAATTTAGTGGCATGCCGCGCTGGTCGGCCTCATGCTGATTGATTTTTCTGTTTTCTCGTTGCCCCAGTCTTTCAGGGAGTGTTTGGCGGACCTTTTAGCTGCGTGCTTTGCGAATCACCACCTTTTCGGGGGATGGGGGGGGGGAGGGGGGCGTCTATGGCATTCCAACCCTGTTGGATTCCGAGTCGTCCCCTTATCCTCTCTTTGAAAAACCTGATCCGTCGCGCGTACTTTGTATGTGTTACAGGTGCAGACGGACTGTTAAGCTCTGCCAGTCACCGCGTCAGATCAAACCTCCGGTCTTGACACTGCCTTGAAACGGAGCTAAGGGGTGTGTGGAGAGAGCGCGGTTTATGTAGCTCAGGCCTACTATGAGCTAATTCACATGCAAGCCATCGTCCCTGCACTCGCCGTGCTGAGGGGACACGGTGGACATCATCATTTAGAACGATCGGCTGTCATGTCTTCACAGCCAGTAGTCCCTAAAAGATTTACCAAACTTCCCACCCCGAAAGACTCCTTCGGAGGGGACGACAAGCAAACCTCGGGTCGTATTCCCACTAAACAAAAGTCGTGCCCATATTGCAATTCAGCAGCCGCCAGGGGTGACAATTCATATTTTGACACCAGTAGGTAGACGTTAACAAGGGAGATCTACAAGGTTGAACTGAAATTCGGGCTCTCTGGTCAGTAAGGCAACGTTTCAAACATCAGGCTACGGAATTCTGTTGCCCCTTTGGTGTTTCCAGTTCCTTAACTGTTGATCTAAAATCTCCCCCGACTGGCTTTCGGTTTGTTTCTGGCCTGTGAGCAGGAAAAAAGGCCATTTCATTTGTAGCGGTTCTTGAAGAGGACTATATTTCTGCCTGATGGAGCAAAGGGTCTTTTCTGTCTATATTCATCAAAAAAGGGAACCACAATGAATTCTGATTTTCCGAACGCTAAAGTAACTCAGATGGATTAGCGGTCTGTTTAGGATAAGTAAAGTTGATCCTGGGGTCGTAGAGGCGCCGTGACAAACAGGCAAAGGTCATGATGACAACTGTAGGGTGAAGGACTCCATTTACCTGTCAGTTGACAATGGATCGTGTCATATTGGCATCCATTTGCAGGTCGCTGCGGACATTACACTGCCAAAGATAATTCCCATGACCTCAAACCATTACTCAAGTTCCGTTATTTTTCGAAAATTTGCCTTTTATTTACTTCCCTTGTCATACGAAGGCGTACGACAAGACTTTCGGCAGAAATCCAGACAATTCCCGTTTTCTTGCATTTCGTCAACTTACTGTTTGGCGTGCTGCCCTACCCGTAAAACTCCCATTATCAACATTCACGTTTGATACGATCCACGGCATACCGACAGTTAAGTTGGGTCCTTCGCCCCACCGTTGCCTCAAAAATCCACCCAAGGTCCGGACTTCGGCGACGTCAAGGACACCCCCCCACACAACTAGGGAACAATGAGCGCGGCAAAACAATCCCCTAGAAGCTTATTTTTACCCATGTAATTTCGCCAGTTTCTTAAAGCTAACACACGCCAACCCCTATGGAATTTCTATAGTCATTAAGTCATTGAGAAACTTCTTTCTGCGCTCTTAGAACAAGCGTTGTGATTCCCGGCTCTTGTTTAAGATATACATTTTCTCCGGACACTAAGCTCTACCTAGCAGTGTACTCTGACAGCCAAACTTGTGCCCACATTTGTATTTGTAGGATAACCTTCTTTTGGCAGACACTCGGTTAGCAGAAAATACCCGTACACTTCGCCGACTGCTTATCAGAAAGTTGTAATATATATCGGACGCAAACATCCTTGCTGTATTGCTGACTGCTTCGTACAGCGTCATGGTAGCAAAGGCAGTACGAAAATGGCCCACTATGGGCAGGTGACAAGAAACCTATCTCCAGGTCCCTCAAGTGTGCGGTTGCGTACTTTCGAAGACGTTCACTTTCTCCTTGCAGCTTAGGTCTCGGCAATCACGTCGCCTTTGGAGCATGAGGTGAAAATCAAGGTTTGTGCGGTTTTGAATGGTGAAACTCAATGGCTTGCAGTTGGCAGGATAAGGTTAGTTACTTCGACCGCTTTAAGGTCATACCGACCAAGGAAAGGTTAATTGGGAGTCTGTCTGGTGTGCCAACGCAAACCAGCCATTCTCCAACCTAGGGAGAGAGGACCGGAGACCCCAATTCAGGTCCAGTCGGCAGGGAAGCTTAAAGATCAACACGATGCGTGATGGGCTCACATTGTCGACTGAAATCGGGAGCAAGGTCGTGGAAAGACTATTAACTAAGAATGGCCAGTTCCATCTTCATTGTCCTTGTCGGAAACTCTTCGCAACTAATCTAAAACCTCTTGAGATTAAATCTAGGTTATCAAGATGTTTGAACTGTTTGCCTTAGTTACTTTGTCCATGAAATCATCGTAGGACTTATTAAATGGCTGTCGACCCAATAAAGGTGGCTTTACCGTTAATCCAGAGTACGAATATTAAAGAGTGAGGCTCAGTAAATTTGCCGCCAAAATGTGGCGCGTGGAGAGACACTATACACGGCATCGGTGATGATGGCTGGGCCACGCATGATTAAACACGTAGGAAGTGCAGGTAGGTGTTTGACCACATTTAAAGGGAGCACTTTATACTGATGTATCCGCATGCAACTCTGTTCCGCGTGGAGAACTGTGCACACAGATGGGAAGACCACACACGGATGAAGAAGAAAAAGCGGAAGGGGACACAAAACTCCATTCATAGAATAAAAATAAACAAGCTGTGACGGCCCGAATGAGTCCAACCAATGACCCTGATTCCATAGACTGGCTTCATAGGGAGCCCCTGAGAAATAAAAAAGACGGATGAATTTAAGTAGATTGCCAGCATAGGAGGTCTTGTGATCTTCAACCAATAAGCGAGAAAACATTTAAAATAAAGGATATCGGGGATGTCTCTCGTTTTTCCTTCTTATGCGAATAGGATAGGTCGAGGGCAACGCATCGATTTAAGTCATCCAAAACACTTACTTTGGTAGGAAAATTATCATTAACATTAAAATCAACGGCAACCAGGATAATAATTGAAGTTGCTTATGCCTCAATGAGGTATAATGTCGCCAGCGCGAGATTGAAATCAGACGGTGATTTCCACAAAAAAGACGATCCAAAGTAGGCATTAGAAGTGTCGAAAGTGTGAAGGGTTCGCTGGCATAGCCCAAGTAAACGTGCTGAGTGTAGTTTTGTTAGACTATCTGAGACGGAACAGAGCCTGCACTTCGGTCGAAAACAACCAAGAAATTCCTTAACAGCTGCTCAATCATAACGTCTGAGAGATGAAATGTAACAAACCGGAGGAACTAACAGGCTCCAAGGAAAGTTTTTTTTAGAAACTACAATGCGACCGTTTTTATAACTTAGTTACGCTGGAGTAAAATTATGGCGGCATGGAACACATTTACAAAGAAGTTGAAACTTCCGGTAATCTAGGCAAAGTGCGGAAACTTGGGAAATCTCGGAAGGGAGGTCGATGAAGAATACTGTGAATGAGGTAGTTTTTTTGAGGCAGAGGCCTGACATTTAGACTGAACAACAGAATTTTGCGATTGATGACTGCTAGCAGTGAGACAGTTATCAAACACAAATAAGCCCGCGTACGTGTGCGGTTAAAAAGGGAGGGTTGATATGGTCCCTGTCACAGAGAGCCTAATCAGGGGACTTCGGTTTCCTATAGCTCTAGCACGCCAGGCGATCAGCTGCCTCGGTAAATCTTTATTTCACCAGTAGGCTTCTATGCTAACAAAATTTTCGCTTCGCCTCATGAAATGCAGAACAAGGGGTTAACACCAAATCGGAATAGACTACGAAACCCCAACTAGATGGATGCTTACGAACATGGCCTACGATGCGCCTCATAAGGGTCAGAGAGGACGACTATTTTAAGGCAACCGAAGAGGTTGGGGCTTATGCCAGTCCGCAGGTGGCATTATAAAAACGAGCATGGATGCTTAAATTTTTCAGGGAGGGCTTAAAGTAGCAAGGCGACTGAAGCAAAAGTATGCCCGAACATAATGACACGCCAATCAAGAATCCTGGACGCCCAGATTTAAGTATCAAGCGCAGACAAAACTGCCGCTACGACCTTATTCAGAGCAGTAGAAGGCGTCACACAAGGTGACGTGGATACAGAAAATGGAGACTAACCCGTTTGGAGATATAATCTACGATTTGTCGATCGCATCAAACGGTAACACCAGTAGCGGTTATGGTCGCAGTACTAGGGGTGTTTCCCGTCAACTGATCATTGGTGGAAGATGAAAAGCCACCGGACGTCTCTGAAGTCTTGGTAGCAGAGTTGGCGGCAGCACTTGACGCCTTGCCGGGAGCGACCCACTTGAGTTTGTGGGTGGCGGGAATAGAGGTGTGAGCGCCAACCACGGCGCCAGTTGGATGAGAGAAAGGACAATTGACACGGTTGGTGCAGGCACTGCCATAGCGACAGACCTTGGCCACAGCCGGCTTGGAGAGCGCCATGGGTGGGTGTAGGAAGGGACAGGCGGCGTTTTTGCATCGTGGGTAAAAACGGCAGAGTACGCCGAGGGTCTGTGTGGCTAGAATAAGTAAACAGGCATTTCAAGTAGTTTCGAGCCATCACTCGTGAGGGGTAAAGCACCTGCAAGTTAGTGGGGTATAATTAGCGGTCGGCGAACACTAGGCCCGAAATAGCAATTTCAGTATGACTGCAACATTTCTGGTAAATGTGGTGGTTCTCGAAAAGAAAGGCTGCAACTTCTTTTAGCTTCTACTGGAAATAACCGCCAGCGAACAGTTTATCATGCCTTTTGCTGGCAAAAAAATTCTGGTTAAAAACTAATACTAGTCGCCACCTGCAACAAAAGTCCCTTGATTTGCCGGACTTTCTCGCAAAAGCGACTAAGTCTGCCAACTTCTGTCGGTCCTGGCCATAATAGAAGCAACCCTCCTCTGCCGCAGTTCACATGCGGTCCGCCTGCTCACGTCTAGGCTAACGAGATAACGATGAAGGAGACAATTACCAATGTTGGGGGGCTGGCCAGCATGGGAGAAAGGGCATCCGAGTCGAGAGCAACCGGCGCCGAACTTGCAGGCGGGGTGGAAGTAGAGACACCGGTCGCCAAAGCGGCAGTTGGGAAAGCTCTGGCACTCCTCCTTTGGATGCATGTATTGACAACTGGCACCATTGCGGCAACTTGGCCAGTACTTGCAGCGTTCAAGGGTGCTAAAAGAGAAAAATTACATAAACGAAGGATCGACACGAACTTTAGACGCCTTAGAAACTGAAAATGTCAGCCGCTGTGACGGCCTTGTCGAAGTTGTTGGCAGTCGTTGGCTATGGGGCTGAGCTGGATGTTTTAGACTAGCCGCGTAGGGCTCAGCCCGAGTTCGACAATAATGCTTACTTATTTCCGACCTGATTTCCACACCGTAATCACCCCGCGTGTGAAATAGCACTGATTGTCGACATGGCAGAAAATCGAAGTTGTGATTATTCCCAGACTGAGGACAACCACGAAGGATAACAGGTCTCCTGCCGAGCGCCCATTTGTGTGCCGATAACTGGGCTCCATCTGGCCTGTGTATTTGTAGGGGCAGTCGACACCCGGAAGTGGTTACTACCCAATTACTCGCCTGAGTTAAAACGATCCTTGTTGCACATGATTTTGTTGTGCACTGTGCTCGATGGTCGACGTGCAGCGCCGTTATTTAAGTTGCGGACGATTTTCTTGGTGACCTCAGAGACGTTCTTAATGCACGAAAATGTGTGCCATATCTGGGGTTCAACTCTATCACAGACATTTGGTGAAGGGCGCCCGGGATTTGGAAATATAGCGAGCTTCGTTCTTCTTTAATCCACACACACTTGAGTATTTCAGTTAACCTTTTATGAAATTAGTCACTAAACGTAGGGGGCTCCACAGGTCAACTAATCGGAGTTGTCTACTGCTTAGTTTCAAGAGGACAGCCCTAATTTTTCTTGCCCATCTGTGCACACATGCAAGACTGGCTGCATTGAAAAGGGGAGAATGACCATATGACGGCAAAGGGGTGATTAATGAAAGTAGGATTGGAACCTTGCAGATAAGGATGGCGATAATAAATGTCGTCGTCAGAAAGCATTTCCGAGAATTTGGATTTGAATAGTACTCAGTTTAAAGATAGCAGGTCATAAACAACTTTTTCGGTGGCTTAGGTGAACATTGGAGGATGAAATTTCGGCATTTTTGATATCTGTTGCCATTATTACCTGACAATATCATTATTTAAAGCTGATGCGACCCCCGCCACCAGACATGAAGGCACAAAACAGAGTGGCACGCTAGTGTTCAACACTGGCACGTAAGATTTGTTTACGAAATACCACAAGAACGTCGAAAGCTCGTATTCCAACTCCGTTTACCCCTCTTAGTGGCAGCCCAATTATCTGAAAAAAGCGGTCAGGTACCAAAGCAAAGGTAGCCCACCTGGGTATGTTTTCTCGTTTAGGCGGTTCAGCCGACTGCTCTTTCACCACCGCAGCAGCTTTAACTGGCGATTTCATAAGGCGCGCAGTTTCTGCCAGCTCATCCTCATCGGTGTCGTTAAGACTAATCACCATGGGCGGCGTATCCTTGGGCTTTTCAGCGGTAATCATACGATTTGCCTTCGTTGACAGTAACTCTGCTGACAGGCTAGTTTTGGACTTTTGCAGTTTCCTAGCAATGAGAATGTCTCGAGCGTCTAGCACTTCCAGGGCCGGACCGACTGCATCGTGCCTGTCAGCCTCTGCGAGAGCGCGAGACGGTACTCGAGGACCAAGACGAGACTTGACATTGGAAACGCCGACTGCACCGGGTACCTCCTTACCACTACCAGTACCACTGACGGCAGAGTCGTTGAGAGTGACCACGAAGCGGGTCGACTTGGCGGCCGGGGGTTCTATGTCGTCCTCCAGAGAAGAGCTGAAAAAGAAGGCACAAAGTCATCAGACGACTTAGGCAGAAGGGCAGAATGCAACCTGGTCTGCACACTATGTGACAGTCATCGGTCACAGGAAGCCGGGGTCTGAGTAAAAGACCGTTAAGTCAAGTATGTACGCATAGTAAGTTTAACACGAAGCATGACTTCTGATAGAAAGCACACAAGCTCCATGACGGAGTGCAGTACGCGATAACGGACGTGGACTCTGTATTGGTACTCAAGCGTAACTAGGTCAGTACCAACGAATGCTAACGCATATAACAGGTTTTAAGACAGAGCCGAATGTATAAAACCATGCGGCAGTTTAAAACAATCCAAACCTTTATTTTATTTTAAAAATTTGATATTGCATGCATGCGACTCTACGAAAACGCACGTGGTAAACGATGAACCCAAGTAGAACACTTCAATAAGACGGCAAATAAAAGAGTTCGAAAGTACTATTTACGATCGAGACCCTCAGAACAAACCGAAACAGAATGACTGGAAAACACATGCATTAATCACTATTTTACATCTCGAGAATAATATCTGCTGAACATTACGCAAAACAAGGACTTCAAAGCCCAAATAAGGAATCCGTTTTCGATCAGCTTTCCTCCTGCTCTCACTTTAGAAAGTACGGAAGAATTCACGCTGTATCAAAAATGGAAAAAGTGCGATTCTCGGATGACATGTCAAAATAAGAAGCGTTCACTGGCTGAGGTTTATATCTGACGTTTGGAGTAGTAATTTCGTCCATCCATCTTCAGACACTGCTGAGTGCTGTGTACAGTTCTTAGTATATATCTCATTTTGCTTGCTGTGCCGGTCGCCAATGCCGACTGTGGGACTAAGTGAGACTCCTGTGTCGCCTCCGCCTCACCCCTCACCACGGCGATAATTGGCAGCCTCGATTGTTTCACGCTGTCGCTGTCCTGTCAAGAAGGTTCGTAAAACCGGATAAATTGATGTGATAAATTGACTGGGCTGTTGGTAGACCTGCACCTTGCCTTGATGTATGATCACCGTCTCGGCCCACAACCTCAACGACGTCGAAATTGAAGGTGTGTCCCATCTGCGCGACAGGGGTTGCTACCTCCGACTTTGGGCACAACCTAGTACGGCCAACTGATGTTCATGCATTCTTGGTATACGACCCCCGAGGCTCGAACGTGCGACCCGTTGGTTAGACTCCAACGCCCTAACTATTAAGCTACGGGCTTGTTGTCCTGTCCGTTGCGATCGGGTCGCAATCGGAGCCGCCAATTATCGCTGTGGGAAGGGGGGCAGAGGCGACACGGGAGTCTGACCTAGTCCCGCAGTCGGCATTGGCGACTGGCACAGCAAACAAAATGAGATATATAATAAGAACTGTGCACAGCATTCGGAAGTGCCTGAAGGTGGATGGACGAAATCACTACTCCAAACGTCAGATATCAAAAAAACTTTACCCAGTAAACGCCCTTTTTTCTGAAATTCACGTTGAGAACATGATTTGGAAAGAATATCTAAAATGCGTCACGGGGTAACTTTTGAAGATGGACATCTGTTACTAAACAAGATTTCCAATGGAGAAACTCATGTTAATGAATGATAATTAAATCTGATCACCTAGAAAAAATGAAGGTCGCCTAAATAAACCGGTCTTATTGATAACTGACATTAGCAAACACCAAGGTATTAGGGATCGATGTTAAAGTCTTGTGGGGGGAGGAGGGGTATTTTCCTTTGAAGAAATACCGCGATTGTCATAAGCGTGGCAAGTCGCCGTCATTCAGGATAACTTTTGAAAGAGCGAGACAGTGTAGTTGACCCCAACCTGGGAAACATACAAGGGAATAGTACTACGCAAAAGCGTTCATCAAGCAGACTCCTTACAGGCCACAACTTTCCGAGGAAAACCATACACTCAAGCCCTCTAAGATACTGTGGAATACATACCTAAGTCATCAGCATAGCAAGTCTGTTCGTGCATACATTTTCTAGGTGAAGAGCTGGAGACAGAAGCCAAAAGTAAAAGGACACTTAAGACAAGATGATCTCGTTTAGCTTTCCTGTGGTAGTCTACAGTCGAGCCGACAGGAACGCACATGGGCAAATGAATATGGACTTTTAATTCACTTGAAATATAAGGTTGCTCGCCTCACGAACCCCGAGAAGTCAAAAATTCAAGAGGCAGTTAAGTCTTGCCCAACGTGTAAAGAATGGCGTTGATGGGAGACACATTTTCAAGATAGCGCAAACATTCATAAGTGTTTCTGGGTGACTAACAAAATTAATCTGATCCAATTACGAAGAACTCCGCGGCCCCGGTGAATTTTGAACCCACCACAGCAAGTGCAAGATTTACGTACAGCCAACGCCCTAACCACCCCAGCTACGAGGTCCCGACTGGGAAGTGTGAGGTTAATCATATTTGGGTCGATTTACCTCCCCCTCCCACCAAACCTAATGCAACATATGAAATCTATAAATCCTGATAAAGCAAGCTGGCTGTCCAAGCAGGATTGCCTAGACATAAAACACAAATCAAACCAAAACACTTTGGAAAGATAATGATATAAATGGATATTAGAGGTAAGCGAGGCACTGCCGAATCAGAAGAACGAACCCCATCTGGTCCGCTGGCCGTTTTCGTCCGTGTACTACAGCAGCAGGTCGTGTGGACTTCGTTGGTGAAATAGATGTAGTTGATGCCACACTCGCTTGAGCCTCAGACATTGCGCGTTTCAGAAGAAGTCCACCAGGTCGGGCGTGTGGTGCCATGGTGGTAGAACACGGCACGTGTGTTGAGAGCTTAAGGAAAACGGGTGCACTTGAGAACAATAAACTTGATTATGAGCGTAGTAGCCCTACCCCGGGTACCTGTCGAGTATATCACGAGTACTTGAACGTGCACACCATTGGTAGTCCGGTTCTTGGCCAATCACGGTTGCACGAACCGACCAGTCATCTCCAAGGCTGATAAAGGCGTGCGTTCGCTCCAGACGCTGTGACGCATCCCCAACTGTCACTTGGGGCGCCGCTCTCGCGGCGCCGGCCGTGTGCTCTCGTCCGGCTTCCAACTTATTTCGGCCGGTTCTCCAATCATTCTGTACAGAATGCACTGCCCTCTCAAAAGGCGTCCAATGGCATCTCTTTCTATTCGAGACGGGACCTGAAGGTCATAGAGACTAGGGTCTCCCTGCGGCTTTCGCTGCTGCGACATGAGCATTAATCATAGGGAACTGGGGGAATTGTCACCGAGGTTCTTTAAATTGAAGGTTTATTCCATAAACAGCCTTGCTATAAAGATGGAAGCCCAAAGCCAGAATCCCCAGATGTCATACTAAAGCAGAACCTATTAGGATACCGAGATATTCAGGGGTCAGCGCAATTTCGAAGGAAAAAAGGAGTCAACAATCTACTCGCATTCCGCACTCGGATATTCAAGAATTAAACAGTTCGATACTTGAAACGCTACAAATCAGAATGATGAAGGACGAAAGTTCGATCACATCTCGCAACACTCCTCCTCCACCGGTGCAGTAAGTAAAAACCCGTCAAGACTAATAAAAACACTAAAACTACTATGTACCTGGTTGCAAATGATTGCCAGGAAAACAAGACGAATCTAGGCAAGTTGCCAAGTAGGAAGATTACTACCACACTTTGTCAAGTAGTCAAAAACAGACGTGGATCTTGTACTTGTGGCCATCCATAACCCAACCGGTCTCGATGATGTCGCGGGTTCCACTTCTTTGCGCGACGATCTGTGTCAGCGGATCTGGAGCACGACGCACTCTCTCCCCCAGCGATGGGGTTTGAATGTCTGAGGAGTAACTTCTCCTGGGCAGAAATGTATCTCAAAAACACTTTGGCCTTCTCGACGTTTATGAATAAACTGACTGGTTCAGTGACCTCATCTATCCTGCGGACTGTCTGATTAGAGACGAAGTCTGTATAATTAATTAGGGTGTTTTTCAGACAGCGGCGGCCGAACGCTTACAGTTCGCACTCGTCGTTCACGCGCACAGCCGAGCACAGAAGGACTGACCAGAAAGATGCCCCGTACACACTGATTTTCGTGAGACGGGGGTGGCGACTTAGATCCCTGGACACTTTCAGAGGATTTCGAAAGCCCTGCGATCAACATGGACTTGACAGACCACGTATTCCTTAACTTGTACATTTGACATCAACTTCGCTCCGACGCTGGCAGTCATTAATTCAGAGAGGTGTCGTCTGGTCAGAACTGTAACTCGAAAACGCTGGTCTTCTCAGCGTTTACGGATAAAACGACTGATGTTGCGACTTCACCTACTCCGAGTGTCATATACCGTAGGTTAATATGGCCTGACGCCATTAGGCAGATATCGCCAGTGTAGCAAACGTCAGCCAGCCAGTGATCGATTGCAAATTAAACATCGCCAAAACTTCATAGGGACCTTCGACGTGAGTGGTCAGCGGCACGGTTAAATAGGGTGGGTAGCGGAAAACTGTCGAGGTGTGGTGTCGGCAAGAATCAGAGACAAATTAAGCAGGCCAGTCCGTTACTCTGACGGGTAGCAATTGATTTGCCAAACCGGGAATCAGCCATTGTTCTTTTCTGTCGGTGCGAGGCGTAAGCGCGGGCCTGAGCCATGACTGGCTGCAGTCAATTAATGAGAACGTCACAGTGTCGCAAAGGCTAGGGGTTCAGTCAAACGCGGCCCATGTGTTCAACCGGCTAAGGGAGTCCGGTCGCTGTTGCAATGCCCATTTGACGGTCGAACGGCTGTGGGATTGTTGTGGTGCGATAATTGGTCATAATCATGGCGAGGATTTTTGTCGGTATACCGTCTAAGTCTACTGTCTGTCGCAGGAATTCATAATGCACATAACTGAACGTTACGATGAAGCCGACAAAGCAAACAACCGTGGCTTTCTGACAGCCAAACGAGATGCGCTGCAGCGTAAATAGCCCCGTGGGTGCATTCACGGTCAGGTCGAAACTCAGTTTCTCAGGGTCTCGTCCTAGAGTCAAACATCCCGAGAAATTAAGAAATACCTTAGAAACATAATCGGCGGGGCTTATGATGCGGTAGTTCTTATTGTTTGCCTTATCTCCCTTCTGAGGAAAAGCACAAAAATCAAGACCGGGTGATCGCGAATGAGCTCACCCCCACACTTGCCTAACTGGTCCGTGGACCTAAGGCGCCAGTGTTGACGCAAGACTTGCAAACTTCGGTGATAACACCGTTCTCTCGAGTAGCTCGTTGTTTCACGGTTTCAGTACTGCATCCATAATTTGTTTATTGAGAAGGGAGTTGCACGACACCGCATAGGGTGGAGGGGGATAAGACTCCGTTGCAGAGGAGAGCGAAGGCGTGATGGGTTGGTCACCGAAGTTGAGAGGGTGATTGGAGTGGTCACGTCAGGGCCCGGCCTTGGTCGAGGTGTCAGAAATAAAGCCGCTATTCACATTGCGGACACACAGTCAGCGGCAAAGGCCTACCATTCAACCAGCCATGTTGCGTGATGGCATGCCATTGAACTTAATTGATTTTACTCGATCTTTCTACAGAAATATAAGGACGCAAGACCGCGAGAATGAAGAGGGACGTGTCGTAGTTCAGGTAAGCGCATGACTGACATAAGCTGACCAAAACACTTCTCAAGAACAAAGACGATCGTCCTGGGTTTTGCGGTTGAAGGGGTCTGCTTGGTCTTGGTAGACAACGAAGTCTTCGGTCTAGTGAATGGCCTTATGCTATGGACGGGACTTTCTACATAACTAACAAGGGTGCAACCAACCACCGGACAAATCGGGCGCGCAGCTACTCCTGAAGCTTCTGGAATCGGCTTAAAATCAGCACGAAGACCCCGCTGTGCGCATATGATGCCTCCCAAGATACCCTTCCATATAGATTTTGGGTGGCCTGTACTTTCAGTACAGCCTGAATGTTCTTATTAATCATACTTGCGTTCCGCTATTCACGTCTGTCTCTTTGATCGAGTTCCTAAAAATGACTGTGCAACCACTCAAAGATAGGACCACCTGTCTGTGGCGGATTGGCCATGCGACGCACTAACCTGGAGATGAAACCATATTGAACGTTACCTCGGGTGGACGCGGTCCTAGCTAACAAGAGAACTGAGGTAACCAAATGAAGGCTCTGGTAAAATTAGCACATGCTGACCTCGAAAGAACTAGTCCTTTGATCTAGGAGGCTGGTGTGCTAACGGGCTTAACTTCGCTTGGAAGGTTGGCCGCAATCGACTATGGAGATCGGTATGATGAACTCACAATAAGGAGCAGGCACCGTTTAAATACGAGCTACAAGGGGCCCATCATCTACAACACAAATGTGAAATTCGTTGCCTTATACGCAGTATATTTCGCGTCTTATCACCCGACGTCTTAACATAGGTCTGCAGGCGTTGTTAGCTGTGCAAGTCATTACATTAATTGAAACTTAGTCGAACGATGCAAATCCAGCTCACCTGTTTTAAACTTAATCTTCGAGTAGAAATTCGGTCAATAGGGTGGTGGTCGGAAAGACATATTTAGTAATGCCTTACTGACCTTATCCCACAGTGCAATCATCGCACTCTGTGCAACTGGTGTGCCATACCTCAGTCCTTAACGCCGCGGTAACATTGTGGCTTGTGGTCTGCCTATTTGTCTAGATATCAGCCATTCAGTCGTGGACGCTCAGAATACAGTGCGGTGAAAGCATCAGTTAAGCAACATTATCAGTCCCAAAAAAGTATAGTATTTCCCAAAAGTCAAAATAGAGCTTCCCGTTTAGCAAGACAGGGAAAGCACTGCTGAGGCGCATATGCTGACGACGATCAGATGAAGGCCAGTTAGTTACAGATGAGTTTACAGGATAGTACCAATACCGAGCTTATTCTAATTTATTAGTGCAGTGTTTTAGAGGTCATTGGATTTATGGACGACTTTTGTTTCAAAGTTCTGGATGTTCGCCAGTGCGGCGGCTGAGGATATTGTGTTTCAAGCACATGAATGGAAAGTATGAGCCAGATAAGACGCATTGGTGTTTAAAAAGAAACCAAGTCTCAAGAAGGCGAAGAAATAGGGTCCAGTATAACCAGAGTTGTTTTCCGACTCCGTGGACTTCTTCTAAATAAATTACATACTAATCACTCCCCACTGCACAACAATCAGATTGCGAAGCAGGCACTTTTATCATAAAACTAGGACTAAAGGGTTGTAAAACGGTCGGATCTAAGAGGTGGCAAACGAAAAAACAAAAACCAATCGAGCTGCACGGAACAGTTCCCATATGCTGCAAAAATAGACTAAGAAATTGGCAAATACAAACGGCCAAATGTTAAGGCTGACCATGCGGTAAGTTATCTAAGGTCCTCACTTTCCCAGTAGTCGGCCTTGCAGACTCTCGATAGTAAAGAGCAGGGCTTACGTAGAATTCGCATGGGCCAGTCAACATTACCAAAATTTCTTACCTTAACTACTGACCGTAGTCCAGGTCCCACCTCGCCACTGGCTTCAGTTGAGGAACCGGTCAGCGAAGACGTGCTGACGATTTTCCGCTGTTCTTTTGGTTTTGTTGTCCCTTGAGAAACAGCCTCCTTCTGTATTGGTGTAGAGCCTTCTTCAATGAATTCGTCTAAAAAATAAACAGATACCAGGCTGGTTACTTTCGTCTGCCCGAACACTGATAACGTCCGCTTCACTTTCAAGCGCAGTACGATGGGCGATCTTCTGTGTAATCGGAGACCTTGAACGCGATCTGGAGAGTGATTTCTTGGAGTCCATACGACTGTTTTTAACTTGGCGTTTTGTAAGTCTTTTCTCGTCCTTATTCACGCTAGGAATTGCGGGCGCCCGTTTCCTTTTGTCTAAGCCGAGTTACTTATCAGTAATTACTTACCTTCTGATTTTGAATAGGACTCCAGCAACAGATGAAGCCTAAATGGAAATAACTGGCGACAGGCGTGATTACCATTCAGTAAAGCTTTCGGTCTGTGCACCCAGGAACAGCTGCAAATCGTTATTCATGCTTTCGCGCTTCTTCTTATTGGCAACCATCACCATTATATAATCGGGAAGTTCTTCGTCGACGAAAGCACCGAGCTCTTTTAGTTTCGCTTTCACCAGACCCTTGGAAAACAATATAAAGATTCAATGAGGAATACCTTCACTTCCGCCATAAAATCCGGAGGGTGCGGCATCCTGGAGCTGACCAACACCCACTTTTAAAAAAGGCGGGGAGGGTGGGGAATATTGATGAGTTAAAAGGCCGCTTTTCGATATTGCTTGTGCTGTCAAAAAATAGGCTGCTGATGAAAACCCAAGGTTTAATTGGGAATCAATGACTTTTTATATATCGACGGCAACAAGACCTTGGTCCCTAGGTAGCATGTAAAAAGAGGGGCAGATGTTCAGCGTGGCACAACAGGTCCCTGAGATTTCCGACTATGAACTGCAGTGGTATGGACACTTGTTTGTCGGGCACGATAAAAAATAATAATATAAAAATGCGGGCAGGACTGGCCTGCATGAGCGGGCATATAATGGATTATAATCGAACATCGTCAGGGCGGAAATAAATGTCAGTCTTGATTAAAATCGGACATCGTGTGGGCAGAAATAAATGTCAGCCTTTAGGGGTACGAATGTGGGTCGGACAGGATTGACATGCATGTGGCATTGTATACGCGATTTAGAACCGACATCGTCATGGCAGGATTGATACGCCAGATGAGACTATTCGCGTCAAAGCGGCCAGACGCGAGGAACCCAGACTCGATCGGTCACAGTACGCTTCGAGCCCAGCCGAGGGGTGGGGAAGCGAGGTATGACCAAACTACTAGTCGACGGCGAATACTGAGGGTTCCGCCGTGAGCGTCAACAGAGCGCATGAGGCCGAAATGCGGGAGATGACATCAAGGTCCGTGAAAATCGTCGCTGTATATGGCATTGTATAAGGTATTTCATGAAGGGTTAAGTTAGCCGATCAGGTAGGACTGGCCTGCATGTGGCCTTGAATAAAAGGTTCGAGACGGGTATTATCAAGGCAGAAATCATATGCCGGATGAGGCCGTTCGTGTCTAAGTGGGGAATTGAAAACCAGTTTTGAGGCGATAGGAACCCAGATGCGATCGGTTACATTCATCCGAGTCCACCCGAGGAGGGGGCAAGGGAGATGCGACCAGACTACCAGTATATGGCGAATAGAGAGGGCTTCGCCAGGAGCGTCGATGGAGCGCATTCTGTAAGGGCACGATGCATGAACTGAAAAAATTGGAAAAATTATCATGTCTGGTGAGTGATCTTAGGAAGCGATACGACTCTAAAAGGAAGGAAATATG